CTCAAGCAGAATTATGGGGTATATTTAAAGCCCTCACTTACATCAGTCAGCTCTCTCACACAACCTATAAAGAACTACTTGTCTTTACCGATAGTAGAGCTGCTCTACATATACTAAGAAGAGAAAATAACAAATCAGCCCTAGCTAAAGAACTCATAAATTTGGCAACAAAATTAGGAAAACAACTAAAAATCTCCTTCAATTGGATACCCGGTCACGCTGGCCATGCAGGAAACGAGTTAGCTGATAAATTGGCGAAAAAAGCCTCAATTGCACAAACTAAAATAACATACTGGCGGCTTCCTATCAGCTCAATAACTAAGTACATCAACCAACAAATTTGTGCTTTATGGCAAACAGAGTGGGAAGAATCACCCACTGGAAGGTTGTGCTTCAAATTCTTCCCATCCATCGAGGACAGACAGAAAAACAGAATATTCAAACCATCGTTCCAAACAACACAATGCCTGACAGGGCATGGATGTTTTAACTCATATTTGTACCGTTTCAAGAAGAGAGATTACAACCATTGCGACGCAGACACGAACAACGAAGATACCGTTCATCACTTCCTCTTCGAATGCACCAAATACACAACCCTCAGAGAAAATTTCGAGAGAATATGTATCACAGAAGGGAAAAACTGGCCGCCAAAAGAGAACGAACTTATAATGAATAACAAACTTTTTAAAGCATTTGAGAAGTTTATACAGGACAGTGGTGCATTAGTACCTCAGTTTGGTGACCTGAATTTAAATATACTCAACACAGATACAACAGAAACTAATGACAGTGATGACGACAATAACTACAATTCCTTCACAAGCGATGAAGATTAAAGAAAAATGTTAAAAATAAAGACTGTTATATGTATATAAATTCAATTGTGCTACGAATAACATAGTGTGATTATTAAGTTATAAGTTATCTTGTAAAAATTTCTTGTTAAAACTTTATGGATTTCGATCTGTATGATTACATCAAAAATTCTTTGTCAACTGATTACTAAATGTATTACTTTAAAATTATACCTGTTGTATATTTAATATTTCATTAATGTAATAAGTATTGCATCCCATTCTAAACTGTTATAACTGTAAATATGTATAAAATTATTCAACCAACCATTCGAATTCCTATTATGTAAGCAAAAATTTACTGTTTAATAATGTAACCAAAACTGTATTTATCCATTGTGTTCAATTATTATTTATTTATCCATTAATATGTTTGTATATACTTTGATGCAAAAGATATGCATCCTTCTGTTAATTGCATCTGTATGTAAAAATGTTACTGTTAATTATTTGTATTCCTCTGTAAATATTGTTTTAATAAAGGCGATGCGGGCGCCCATGGGGTCCTGTGGGGACCTTATGGTTGCTTATTTCACACTTTCCTATCTTCCTTTATTTCCTCTTCTCTCTAACTCTTACTTTCTTTTACTCTTCCTTCCTATTCATACAGGGGTAAAGTCTGCACTAAATCGCAGATAGCCCCTCTTGTCTTTTATTAGAATAGAATTATGTGTTGTTTGTACAACAGGGTCATCGACTATGTTATACTGTATTTATAAAGTGAGAGTGTAAAATTTCCTAAATTTTCAGTATAAAATACATAAGTATTGTGATAAACACTTACCCAAGACGAACTCGGATTAAATCCAAAATAAATCTCTTCAGATATTGACAAAGAGATTTTACATCAACCGAGCATACCCGAGCATACTACTTCAACCGAGCAAATCCAAAATAAATCTCTTCTAATATTGGCAAAGAGATCTTACTTCAACCGAGCATACTCGGATTCCTCACCTCCTCTCCACTTACGCACGGTTCTGAATACAGAAAAAAGATAATGTTATAAGTGATATTACTCATTGGAAAACGTTTAATTTAATTTGAATTAAATCAGAAGATATCGACGGCGCTATATCGAGATTCAAGCTTATCTCTATTGATCCATTGCAAATATTTTTACATAGAAGAGAGAGCAACAGTTTTTCTATTAAGTCTTTCAGTAAGCTTCAATTAAGTTTACCGCTGAAAAAGCTTTAATTTTTCACTTTTAACTTATATTTTTATTGAATTGTATATGACACTTGTTTGGAAGAAGAGTACACCGTCAATTCTCAATACCGCATTCCAAACAACGCCAAAAAA